GTGGCAGGAAGCAGTCAGCCTCAGTGCCTTTGACATTTATGTCCCTGTGCTATAGTACAGAGGGTCTGCCTGTCATCACAGACTGGTGTAAGCCTTGGTCCCTGGCAATCATTTTCTGTTTCAAGTGTTAGTTTTCTGTAGAATTGTAGTTCAGTGGATGCTATCAGAAGAAAAAGGACAGAGTGTCACATGGAAAATTGGAGATAAACTGATAACTCCAGGGTTAGAGACACTGATTCATCCACCCCCACTGTCTCGTGGTGGAGGACAGTCTCCCTCCTTCTCTCTTTTGGGTCACATTCTGGCTCAGAAGTCAGTCTATGTAATTTCTGGAAGTGTTGGTATTTTCCTTCACCCCATAGAACACATGTGGAACACAGCTTTTTCACCACAAGAGCTGCCAGGCACCTCAGAGTTCAGCCTTGTCACTGCATGGAATCAATTGGGTGGTCTCGCGCAAGACCCTTAACTTCAGAGCCTCAGTTTATGCAAATAGAAGATGGAATATCAGTGCCTGCCCTGTTTGCCTCACCAATTTGCCATGAAGACCAACAGGGCTAATGAGAAGACGGTGCGCTCTGAGTGAAAGGGAAGGGGCTTGGGCCATCACACCTTCAACCATTCCTGCCATTGTTCAAGGTTTTTTGCTCAGGTACACCCTCATGTAGGCTTCCAGGAATATCTTCAAATGTTTCTCTCTTTCTCTGGAATTATCCCCTCTTCTGTACTGCTGAGTCCCTTAGACTGTCCCACTGCTCAGCAGGCTGCATCCCAGCCATGTGCCCAGCCCCAGCAGATACTTCAAACTGCTCATTCCCATAGCTCCCAACACAACTGTACATCTTCTCAGCCAGTGATTTTGTTTTCCAATGCTCAGAAAAAGAGGGACAGAGAGGCAGGACGTCTCTGATTCTCTTCCCAAAACGTATCTACGCTCCAATCATCCTTAACTCCTGGCCTCCTGGTGCAGAGGCCCCTTTGCATCTACTACCAATGCCTCCACTTAGAATCTTCATCCTCTGAAGCTTCCTCAGGAATCTCCCAACATCACTGGTCCCTTCTCATTACTGGATCTTTGCTTTTTTCCTTGCTACTAGTCCCTTCTCAGCACACAAAGGGGAATTTTGGCCATGGAATTTGTGTCTCTGTAGAAACATGTAAGGAGTTTGGACTCTGAATAAGGGAGCAGCAGAAGAAAAATTCTGGGTGAAGACAAAAGTGGGATGTATGTGGACCTTGCAGGAGGCCTTAAGGATAGGGAATTGAAGACTATGTAGAAGTCACAAGACTGTGGTTGCTGGAGACCGCGGGGGTTCTTGCATCATCCAGACGGTCGTCTTTCTTTATTAGGCTCTGTTCTTCTCTCCATTCCTCTCCCTGACTTTTATCCCCAAACTCCATCTTGGATTCTAAAAGCTCAGGATAAAATACTGATCTCTTTTAAAAAACAGAAGTCCAGGCCCTGGTAAATCACTGACAGTGGGATAAGGCACTCCCCACTGAGACATCACTCTACTTTTGTTTTACAAATAATAGAAAACCATTCTTGCTCCACAGAGCTGGTGAAGATATGACCTAATGTATCCTAACAGTAGCTGCAGCCAGATAGCCTTGAGACTGTCAGTCACAGGGTCAACCCTCTCCAACCCCCAGTGGTGAACAGGACCCCACCCAGGTCAATCAGCCTTTCACCAGGAACTTAGATTGAATGGAAGGCACGGAGTTGGAACTAAGCCATTAAGACAGCAACCTCCTAGAGAGATTTCTTGAGTTCCTGTCTCTGGGGTTCTTGGAGCTGCCATCTTTCAAGTACTTCCTGAAGTTTGGCTGTTCAGCTTTTTCTTAAATTCTGTGATATTCAATATCCTTCCAATTACTTCCATTTCAATTTTACTCAGGAAAGATTTATTTCTTGCAAGCAGAGTACCTCTGAATACTTTCCTCAGAAAGTAACTGACTTGGGCGCTGTGGCTCATGCCTGTAATTACAGCACTTTGGCAGGCCAAGAGGGGCAGATTGCTTGAGCCCCAGAGTTCAAGACCAGCCTGGACAACACAGAAATTAGCTGGGCGTAGTGGTGTGCACCTGTAGTCCTAGCTACTTGAGAGGCTAACGTGAGAGAATTGCTTGAGCCCAGGAGGTGGAGGTTGCAGTGGGCTAAGATAATGCCTCTGCACTCCAGCCATGGTGACAAAGTAAGAAAGACCTTGTCTCAGAAAAAAAAAAAGAAGAAAAAGAAAAAAAGAAGATAACTGACTGACTTGCCACCATACAACCTCTTACACCGTCTTTATGAAACACCAGACATCAGATCCTGAAAGTACTTTATTCTCAAAGTCTGCAAGGTAAGTATTATCATTACGCCCATTTTGCAGGTGAGATACTGGGGCTCTGAAAGTTGTGAGCATCTGTCCCATGTTATAGTGGAAATCAGGAATCTTGGTTGCTCTTTGTCAGTAAAACTCACTGTAGCCCAAGTAAAGGAGGTTATTGAAAGGAAAGTGGGAAGCTCTCTAGCCAAGACAGCACCTTTCTCCATCTCTCTCCACACATATTCTCCCATCTCTGTTTCTGAGGATCTGCTCTATTTTCATGCCTTTCTCTGCACAGTGGCTTTTCCCTGCTCACTCATCAGTGAGCACATTGCTGAAAAAGGCTACTTCAGCCCAAACACTAAAGAGTTACTCACTTCAACCTTTCACCATCAACTATTCTATGTCTCTTAGTTTGAATTATTGAGAAAAAAATCTGCTTGGTCCTGGTCATCTGGGGTAGGCTGAAAAATGTCCCCCTACTTCCTCCCAAGGATAATTGTACTCCATGGAACTTGTGGATGTTACCTTATATGGAAACATGGTCTTTGCAGATGTGATTAAGACAGATTTTTAAATGGGGATTATCTTGGATTATTGGGGTGGCCTTAAATGCAATCACATATATCCTTATAAGAAGAAAACAAGCCGGGCATGGTGACTCATGCCTGTAATCCCAGAACTTTGGAAGGCTGAGGCAGGTAGATCATGAGGTCAGGAGTTTGAGAACAGCCTGGCCAACATGGTGAAACCCTGTTTCTACTAAAAATACAAAAATTAGCCGGGCGCAGTGGCAGGAACCTGTAATCCCAGCTGCTTGGGAGGCTGATGCAGAAGAATCGCTTGAACCTGGGAGGTAGAGGTTGCAGTGAGCCAAGATTTATGCCACTGCACTCTAGCCTGGGTGACAGAGCAAGACTCTGTCTCAAAAAAGAAAACAAAAAGATTTGGCACAAATGGAAGAAGAGAAGCTGATGTCAAGATAGAGGCAGAGATTCAAATGATGCAGCCACAGGCAAAGGAATATTTACAGTTATCAGAAACTGGAAGAGACAAGGGGCAGATTCTCTCCTAGATAAAGACTCTAAAAGGAGCACGGCTTCCTTGATTTCAGCCCAGTGATACTGATTTCAGATTTCTGGCATGCAGAGTTGTGAGAGAATGCATTTCTGTTATATTAAGCCACGATATTTGTAGTAATTTGTTAGAACAGCCGCAGGAAACTAACACAGCAGCCAATGGAGTCATTCCTCCTGTACTAAGTGTCTAATCAGCTGCGTCCAGGAGGATGTTAACAGAAAAAACATAGCCACTGAGGCCTGCCCTCTCAGCTATGGGAAGAAAGTAAAGGGTTGCTTTTCAGAGAAAAGGCATGGGCTAGGAGACACCTGCGTTTCTCCCACCACTAGTCTCTGACACTGGCTATCAGGTAGGAGTGAGCATTGGGAAGTGCAGGGTAGCAGTCATGCCTGAATAGGCACCAAGCCTAGTGCTCACCCTTCCCAAACGCTATTAATACACAGTCCTGGGGGAAAAGAGGTGTGGCTGGAACATGAGTCTATTCATCCAGTGAATTCAAACAAGAGTTTACTAACAACTCTGTTTGCCAGGATTTGAAGTGCTTAGCACAGGCACTCATCTATAGTCTAGAGAAGGATGAGACCTCTACGTCCTGGGCAGTTGGGAAAAGATATTAAAAATCATTTAATCAATCATTCATTCATTTATTCAACAAAAGTTTGCTGTGCATGTGGATGTACTAGCCTAGGTGATATTGCAATAAAATATGTAGAGTCGCTGTCTTCATGGGGTGAGAAAAATAAGCAGATAAAGAGCAAAATAACAGATTGTAAAACGGTTATAAAGGAAAGGAGTAAGTGTTGAGACAGAGAATCGAATGTATGCATTGGTGGCGGCAGTGGTCAAGGTGGTAATCAGGACTTGGAATCAGAAGTTAGATTTAGGGTGTGTGTGAGAAGTGTGGATGGAGAAGTTAAAAAAGTAGCTGGATTTAAACCTGGGGATGGGAGAGAAGGTTTTGGCAGGAAGTGGAATAAATAAATTATTTATTTATTTATTTATTTGAGATGGAATCTCACTCTGTTGCCCAGGCTAGAGTGCATTTATTTATTTATTTATTTGAGACAGCGCCTTGCTCCTTCACCCAGGCTAGAGTGTTTTTATTTTTTTGAGAGGGAGTCTTACTCTGCCACCCAGGCTGGAGTGCAATAGCCTCACTGCAACTTCTGCTTCCAGGGTTCAAGAGATTCTTCTGCCTCAGCTTCCCGAGGAGCTGGGATTACACACACCTGCCACCATGCCTGGCTAACTTTTGTATTTTTAGTAGAGACGGGGTTTCACCATGTTGGCCAGGGTGATCTCGAACTCCTGGCCTCAGGTGATTCGCCCACCTTGGTTTGCCAAAGTGCTGTAATTACAGGCTTGAGTCACCGCTCCTGGCCCGAAATTTGTTATTTAGAACGATGGAAACGAGTTTACTAACAACTCTGTTTGCCAGGCCTTAGGATAAGTGCTTAGCACAGAAAAACAGGTGTTTTAACTTTATTCATAGGGAAGGGCATAAACACCGTCCACCTGTGGATAAGTGGTTTAGTAGAAACAGTCTGTAAAGGCCCAGAAGACTTCCGGCGCTTTCCGCCTTTAACTAGACTACATTTCCCAGAATGCTGCAAGACACTGGGCGTGACTCGGAAATTTCTCTCATCCACTTCCGGTGCACTCTGATAATCATGGCACCTCTAAGAAGCACTGCGTTGTTGTGGAGCCTCTTGAGAGGTTCTCGGGGTGTGGAGTGGGTCTGTTTCCGGGACCGAATCGAGCCCCGGCCTTGTGGCCTGCTCCAAGCACTACCTTCCTCTTTCGAGGCCGGGCTGCCACGCCGCTGGCTCAGCTCCGAGGCCGGTAAGTGACCTTCCGGACTTTTCGCTGGGGCGTTCTTCTGGGAGACGTAGATCCTGTTTTCTGGCTGGCGAAAACCACGCGGCAGCCCCTGCGACACTTAGCGTGGCGCCTCCTCAGATTCAGTTGGCTTCCTTCTGTACCTGCAGAGTTTGTCATCACCTGCATCTGTTCATTCGTTCACTCACTCGGCCAACAGTGCCTGAGTTCCGGTCCTTACCAGAGCACTGTGTTTGTGAGATACGGCAAGCTAAGACCGGCACAGACCTTTCCCTGTGGGAACTCCTGTTCATGGGGAATTGGTGCATTGTGACGCGGGCTGTTATAGGGCACGCACACAGTAGAGGGACTCAAACTAGGTTGGGAGGTCAGGGAAGGATTCCTGGAAAATTTGACCAAGGCTGCGATCGGGTTAGCCATGCTGAGGAGATAGCAAGAAGCTTCTCAAGCACAGGGGACAGTATGAATGTCCAGAAATTAGACTGAGCACAGGTATTTGGAAGCTCATTTTGGAGATAAAATTGATAAGGCTTGGTTAAGGCTTTGAATATGAGTTTAAAGGGAAAAATCAAGATTGTTTCTTAAGTTTTTGACTTGAATGGAGGGTTGTCCCATTTACACCAAGATGGAGATTAATTGCTGGAATCATTATTTTGGGGGCAGGGGAGGGGGTAGTGCAGGAGTAGATGAGGTCGGGAGATGGGAAAGGAGGAATTAAACCTATTTGGGATGAATTAAATTTAAGGTGACTTTGAAAGTCAGGTGTTCAGTATGGAGTTAGATATAAACTGAGGAACATCGCAGTAAAAATGGTAACTAAAGTTGGGCGAATGGGTGAGATTGTGAAGACAGTAGTGCTGAGTACTTGCTGTGTGCTGGATACCCTGAGGGACCCTGGGTGCCAGAGATGAATATAAGACAAGGTTCTGGTCTTCATAGAGCACATCACCTAGTGAGAGACATAGTGTAAGTAAGCACACTGCTTTAAGTTTTTTTTAAAATGATGTTGGAAGCCATTTGTGAATTTTAAGCTTGGGAGTAATCTTGATTACATTTTAGGGAGATTACCCTGGTTGCTCAGTGGAGAATGATCTGCAATGGGGCCAGAATAGAGGAAGGGGGGCTGATGCAAGAGATGAGGATGACCTTGACTAGAGTAGTGGCAATGGGAAATGGAGGATTAAAATGATATTTATGAAGGCAAACAATCAGTATGTTCTCTGCCAGTGTTTTTTTTTTTTTTTTCTTTTTTTTGTATGATGGGGATAATCGTAGTGTTCACCTCATGGGTGGTTGTGAGTATTAAATGGGCTGAGTGTGTAAAGTACTTAGCTCAGTCAGTATTGGCACATAGTAAATAGCTAATAAATGGCAGCTCTTATTATTATTATTACAGCTGTTTGATTATTGTTGTTATTACTGCTATTGGCTAGATCTGGAGGATCAGGGAGAATTGAGGAATGACTGTAAGATTTCTGGCCTGTATGACCTACTGGATGATGCCGAGATAGGGAACAGTAGAAGATGCAGGTTTGAGACAAGGGAAAGTTGATGGGTTCTAATTTGGTAGTATAAGTACAGGAGAGATGTTGGGTAATTGGATGGAAAGTGATCTTGGCTGGAGATTCTGATTTTAGAGTTTCTGACATATAAAAAGCAATTGCAGTCATGGGAGGCTTGGAGAAATCACCGAGTAAGAATGAGAAGGGAGCAAAGGACATTGTTCAGAATCTTGAGGGATACCAACATTTATAGGACTGGGAGAGGAAAAGGTGACTAGAAACAAATGGCTTTTTCTTTCTTTTTTGCTAATGGAAATGGAAATAGAGGTTAGACAAAGCAATAGGCAAACTGTATGAAGCAGAGCTAAGATTTTATTCCCCTCTTATGTGAAAGGTCCTTCCATGATACCACATGGTCTCTACAGTATCATGCCCAGTGATCTAAGCCTCTCTTTCCTAGCTGCAATCTCTTACCTAGACTTTCCCTCCCTTTTTTCTCTGCCCTGATGAGGCTCTTGGGAAGCTTTCTTTGACCCCGTCATGTCCATCCTTACTTAGTCCAGGCTATGCTTAGTTTCTTGCTCTGCAGTCACCCAAGCCCCATACCTGTCCTGTATACCATACCTCTCACATTATGTCTCCTCACATCTTTCACTTACACCAAGGAGTACTATGATAAATTGGAAACCATCTAGTATCCAGAACCAGACAAACCTTGGTTTAAATTTTGACTCTTAATAGTTAGTTGTCTTTTGGTAGGCCTCAGCATCCTCATTTCTAAAAGTGGGATATCAGTACCTATTTTGTGAGTGGTTGTAAGCATTCCTGAAAATGTATGTTATACCTACCATATAGAGACAGCTCTGTAAATGGCAGCAACCATTACAGTTATAACATTATATACTTTATTCCTGTTACTTCCTCCAGTAGCCTGTCCTTTTGGCAGAGACTGAGTCTATCACCTCATCATAATGAATGCTCAGTAAATCTTAAATGAACGAAAGAATAAATGAATCTCATAGGTATTAGCATCTTGCAGTGCCAAGGTAGACATTGTGATAATACTTTTTATTGTTAGTTTTCTATTTAGAGGTCTTGTTGGCTTGTCATTTTTGTCACCTTCTTATTTACTAAACTTGATTTTAGCAGAATCTGGTAGCCCAGAGACCAAGAAACCTACATTTATGGATGAAGAAGTTCAGAGCATACTCACGAAAATGACAGGCTTGAACTTGCAGAAGACTTTTAAGCCAGCTGTTCAAGAACTGAAACCACCAACCTATAAGCTAATGACTCAGGCACAGTTGGAAGAGGTGGGTTAATGCAGGAATATTGTTAGAGTACCTTTCTTTAATGGGTTAAACGGCATTTCTGGAAGCCCCTGCAGATGCTTATAGCTGTTCTTCCACAGGCACTAGTGAAGGGTAGTGCCAGGCATAGAAAGAACTGAGAAAGGAAGTGTGCATAGACAGCCAGAGAGCAGCAAGGAGCATGGCTGGAATTGAGCAGACTAGGGCATATGGATCAGGTCTGGGTGTTCAGAGAGTCCCCTCTCTGCTCTCAAGCCAGACTGAGCACCCTTCCTTTTTCCTGCCTGCTCCAGCTTCCTTCCTGGAGAAATGTCTATTGTGAGCTGCCTTGGGGCTGAAGCTTTGGTGAGATTATGAGATCTTGCATGGAAACAGCATGTTTCCCAGGCACCAGTGTCCTCCTGGAGCCATAGGTACTGAGTCCTTTGTGAAAAACACTTTGATGTATGAATAAGTAAAGCATTAATACTCATCTTTCTGATTCAAAAGTAATTTATAGTCATAGCAAATTTATATATCTCCAATATTAGATTATATGAAGAGTAAAAGTCCCCCTTTTCACTTCCTAGAGGTAACCGCTGTTAACAGTGTGGCATGATGCAGTGTAGTCAGTGGTTAAGAGAATGGGCTTTGAAGTTAGGTTGTCTAGGTTCAAATACCAGTGCTGCAATTTCCTAGCAATTTATTTAACATCTGTGTGCTTCTGTTTTTTCTTCTGTAAAATGGAGATGGTAACAATTGGACCTAACTCATAAGGTAATTGCCATTAAATGAGCCAAATACTTTTAGAGTATTTGAACCATATCTGGTACATAGTAAGCACCCAATAACTACATTCCTTATTCTATTTCAAGCAGCTTTTGTAGCCTGGCTTTGTCTCAGATCATTCCTTTGTGGTTTTGATAATGGTTGAGCCTATAGCTGGTGGTCTCAGCCACACTGCAGAGGCAAAGGCCAGGGCTCACAGGTTTGGCTTTTTACTTAACTGATTCATGGCTACAGCTTCTTTTCTTTGCAGTTTTTCACATTTTTTTTATTAGTATCTGCTTTTGTTGGATGATCTTTTTGTTACGTAACCTTGTGGTGTTCCTTAATAAATATTTTCTTTCATTAGGCTACAAGACAGGCAGTTGAGGCAGCTAAAGTAAAATTAAAAATGCCACCAGTTCTGGAAGAGCGAGTACCAATAAATGATGTGTTAGCTGAAGATAAGATTTTGGAAGGAACAGAAACGGCCAAATACGTGTTTACTGATATATCATATAGCATACCACACCGGGTGAGTATATGTTTAATTGCAGAATGATCTTTGAAATACCATGTGGAGAAGGGCCTGAGGGATGATGTGACCTGGCTGTCTCTTATGCTTCCAAACCAGATTTCCTCTGACTGGGTGAGACCCTTCTGGAAGATTAAAAAAAAAAAAAAAAAGAGCAATGAGAAATGCAGACCAGCCCCAAGTCATGATGTTACTGTTTCCCTGCAGATAATAGACACAATATATTCCAGATTCCAGATGTGCTGAGACAGAACAAGAGATACACAGATACAGAAACCCATCCCAAACCACAAATGGACAAAAATCGGCAAGACAATAGAAGCAGGAGACTCTTTTTGCCTAAGTTAGACTGATACCTTTAGCAAAAGCTTTTTGAGAAGATAGACTGTTTTCATCCTGTAAATTCCTTGATGATGCCAAGAAACTCAGACTTCATAAAGGAGTTTCACTTTCCCGAATTTTCAGTAAGAATGACAGATGTTTCTCAGATAATTTCCAGGCATCACCACTTCTTCTGTTGTGCTTGTTATTCTCTGGCTCCCCTTTCTTTGATTACCAATTTAAAAGAACACTCTGGCATTTTAGAAATATATCAGTTTTTTATTTGAGCCTTTGCAAGTTAAGAATAAAAAGAGGAGAGTTTACAATTCAGCCCACAGAATACATTAGAACACTATAGAATGCTGAGTTTGGGAGAAGGTCCACTCCATATTAATATTTTATTATGCATGATTATGCTTAGAAAATGATTTGACCTATGTTCAGCACCAGCCATCTGTGACCTTGATCATGTCAGGGTCACCACCTGCAGAAGTCTGGCCTGCAGACCCTGACTCAGCCATGGTTGAATGAATGCACTTTCACACCTTGTTCAGTGATTTGAGTGGGCTGGGGATGGCCGTTGGCTGCTTTTAGAGGGTGAAATGCAACCAATCCACTAAGACTCCCTCTCCATTATTACATTTATTTAGTGTGAATTTTACAACAGAGGCTCTAAGTTAATACACTTGTGGATGATTAACATGGTTAAGTGAGTGGTTTTACAAATGATAAAAGCTTTAGGTTCCGGGCCCAGACTAAACACCATTAATGGGTAATTCCCCTTTGATCTTCCCCTGAGAGGGCCATCCAGCACAAAGTTTACATGAGTAAACAGAGTACAGACAAAGGGATGTAGGATAAACAGACTTAAACTGGGAAAGTCTCTTATAGTCCTGATCCTCTCCCTAACTTAATGGACCAGCTGGCCGCTTTTGGCCTGCCCCATTAAATCTGTTTGGCCTTCCAAAAGGTTTGAGACTATAATATATAATTTTTCCTAATATATCTTTAATATTTTGCCAGCCACCCCAAGTGAATATCAACAGCCATCTGTATACTTGACCTAATGAACTCGTCACAGAGTTTCAACTTTAATTAAAATTTTTGTTTTATGATGCTTTAATATATGTTTACAGTGCTATGAAGGCTGGTTGGGAAGCATTTTATAATGTGAAAAGGAGAAGGGAACTTGGAATTCAGGTTTCTCAAATTACCAAAATACTTCTGAGGGAAAATTGTATTATTTTGGCATGTGCTTTTTTTTCCTGTTGACAGTGTTGATGAAAGTTTTAATTGTATTGAGAATGCATTTAGAGACTCCTACACCTCTGAAAAGTTGAGAGTTAGTACCATTTGGTTAATTTAATACATTAATCAGGTGTGTATCAATTATCAGCAATGTGCAAAGCTCCATGTATGCCACTCTGGGTATCGCAAAGAATTATAATTCACATTTCCTGCCGTTTTGCAGTTACAGAGCAATATCTGAGGGCTGTCGAAAATCTTGCCCAGGGTAAATTCCCAGTTGAATGGCATAAAAAAATAGGTAGAATTTAGAAGAGGAAGTGATCTCATGGCCTGGGACTTGGCAGTTGGAAGAGTGAAGTGACCAGAGACAGGTAGGCCAGGCAGTCTTGTCAGGCATGTTTATGTCTAATGCCAGTATGAGAAATCATAGGAGTGCAGAAGTAAGACTCCACATTCTTGGGTTTGTTCCTTTTATCCCAAGGACGTCAAACATAGATCATAAAGTAGTAAAGTCTGTTTAGATGAGACTTTGGGGTAGAGAAATGAAAGTTTAGAAAGGTCTTATAGCACTTCTTTCCTCTAAATGGATACAGACGAATCTCAGATCAGCTTTTTTTGTATCGAACTCACGTTAGCTCCATAGTTGGTACTTACTAAATACTTTCATTTTAGATTTCTGATTGTCAGATGCACAGGCAGTGATTAGTGAAGGAAGTATCAAACCTTGCTAAGTTTTTGAGGTTTAAAATTATCATTGAACTCATATGCATGATTGCATTTTATGTTTCTCAGTCGCTTTTTATATTGTTGATTGCAAATTTTTATAATGGTCTTAGTGGGACACAGGAACTAAAAATAAGTCCTCACAAAGCATCCTTGATTATGTTTTTTCTATTTTAGGAGCGTTTTATTGTCGTCAGAGAACCAAGTGGCACACTACGCAAAGCCTCTTGGGAAGAACGGGACCGAATGATACAAATTTATTTCCCAAAAGAAGGTCGTAAAGTTTTGACACCAGTAATTTTCAAGGAAGAAAATATTACGGTAAGGTGACTTAGGTTTTATATTTTAGAGTCAGTGTTGATGATTTATTTGTAGAACCAATTGGCATTGTTGTTGGTTAGCATTTTGCCTTGACCCAGATAAACATTTCTAATGGTAACTTGACTTCTTTCTTAATAAAATCCTTCCTCCCACCTAAGGTGGGTTGTACTAGGGTTCTCGCTTTCATAATTGGCTTAGCTGGAATTTGAATCTAGGTGTGACAATTACAAAGCCTGTGTTACTTCTTTATGCTTATTGATGAGCACAGAGTGTCCAGTATGTTGGGGGGCAGGCCTGTCACGGCATCAGGACGGGTGCTGAACTTTTGTGTTCCCATACGATGCTAACTCTGTTGTGTGGTTTTAGACTGTGTATAGCCAGGACAGGCATGTTGATGTCCTCAATTTCTGCTTTGCCCAGTTTGAGCCAGATTCTGCAGATTATATCAAGGTGAGTATATTTTAGTTTCTAAAATAGAGGCTTAATTATGGTTATGAGTAAGATTTTTAATCAAGTACAACGAATTTGGTCACAAGTTTTGATAAGGGGGAAAGGGAAGAGAAATATCTGAAAATCTATTGAGTACAGATGTGTGCCAGATAATATATTTTATCACAACAACCTTGGATTAAAGATGAGGGAATTTAAGCTTGTAGAGTTAAGTAGCTTGCTGAAAGTTGCATAGCTACTAAGTGGTAGGGTTAGGACCCAAGTTTGATGACAAAGCCTGTTCTCTTTTCAGTTTACCATGTAGGAATCAAGTTATTTACTAAAATTTGCCAAAGTACAGTGTGTGTCTTACAGCCCAGTAAGTATTCATAGTACTTTCTATGTGTAAGTATTGTCTTGTGTAGTATAGGTGATGCCACGAACTAGGATAAGGTATGCTGTGCCAAAGCCAACAGTCCAGATATGGCGGTGAGGAAAGAAGCTAGTAAGTAACAGATAATTATTTCCTCAGACCTAAAATGCTAGGCACTAAGAGAAGGTTACAAATTCTTTGAGGAAAGGCTTCGTAGGGGTGTTATGGAGGGTTCTAGAAGTGCAGGAAACATTGTGGCAGGCGGAGTTTGGTGAGTGTTTGAGGTGGAGAGAACAGTATAAGCATCAGGCAGGAAATAAAGTAGGGCTTGAGGAATGGCCAGTGATCTGGTTTGCTTGTGTATTCAGTGTATATGTAGGGGAGTGATTAAAGATTAAGCCAGGAAGGTGGATGCAGTCACATCATAGGTGACCTCAGATGCTAGGCTGAGGAATCTGGAATTCATTCAGCAGACTTTTGAAAGCCTTTTGAACCGAGGAACACCCCTCAGAATCTTCATTTAGGAAGATCAATCTGGAAGGAGGACTGAAAGACTTTCAGTTAATAAGATGGAATAGGCTAGCTGTTGGAATAGGGTAGTTGATGGGAAGGATAGGGGAAAGGGAAAGTAGTGAAAAAATATTCTTAATTTCTTTTCTCCCATAGTGACCAAGAAGTGGGTGCTACATTATTCCTAGTGGTCTCGATATGTGTAATTGGTGCTTAATAAATTGTAGTTGGCTTGCCAAAATGTGTTAATATGGCTATAAATGTTTGGTGTCTTGCTCCAGGCTTTGCTGCATACTTCTGTAGTGGAGAAGGGACAGACTTGCTGTCACTTAGACAAATTCTTCTTTTTTTTTTTTTTTTTTTTTTTTTTAAAGACAGGGTCTTGTTCTGTGGCCTACCATGCCCAACTAATTTTTAAAAAATTTTTCCTAGAGATGAGGACTGCCCAAGCAGTCCTCCCACCTCAGCCACACAAAGTGTTGGGATAACAGGCATGAGCCACTGTGCCTGGCCAACATTCTTTCTTAATAGAATCCTCCTTCCACCTAAGGTGGGTTGTACTAGGAATGGTTTAAATCATACCTGTCGATTAATGGTATGGAGGCAACTGTAAGTAGACCTGGTTTTACTTACTTGGGCAGCACTCATGCTCATCAGTGTACATTGAATAATGCTGCCTACTTTTTATTTTCATGTTTCTGAAGAGTTGCATTTTATGTGGATAGGTTCATCACCTGACCTACGAAGATATAGATAAACATGGAAAATACGACCTTTTACGTTCAACAAGATACTTTGGTGGAATGGTGTGGTATTTAGTCAATAATAAAAGGATTGATGGTTTGCTGATTGACCAGATTCAGAGAGATTTGTAAGTATGATCTTAGTAAGTGAAAGAATCATTCTTGTTGCTCTAACAGTTCATCTGTATTTAAGCTATGGTATTTTTCCAATGATAACAGTGTATTGTCTAGTGCTTGCTTACCTTAGTTTATGGATTTGCTCTTTGAGTATAACCTAGCTCTCCTAGTTTTTGCTTTTATATAAACAGTGCTAGATTCTTGGTAAGTGGCTTTGGATCTGTGCTGTAAACCCTCAATATTAGCTTATCTTGGGCTCACTAATGCCCCTGAGTCAGTGAACTTTCCAGATACTGAAAGGGGGATTAAATGGGAAATGTAAAGAAGTAGAAATAAGCTCTGTGGTTCTTTTTTGGTAGAACTGTTTCTAGGGCTTTTCAGTAAACACCATCCTTTAAGTTATGAAAATACTTTTGATATCCCTTGCTTTTGCAAGATTTTTAAGGCATCAAAAAAGTTAGCTTCTTTTCAGAGTAGTGTGAAACAAAAAATATCTGTTGTATTTTAGCATCAGGCTGGTGTGCTCCCAGGCTTCTAACTGGAAATAATACAATTTGCGATAATAAAACAACTTGTGATAAAACTGAAGAGAAAATAGTTTTTGAGCATCTTTCTATCAGTTGGTTTAGGAAGGCCGAAATGACAAGGAACCAGCAAAGCTGTAGTCAGAAAGGTCAGTGTTCCACAAAAAGCCCTTGCCGGACTCAAAAGTCTGAACTACAAGACAGTTTTGAGATTATTGCCACTTTCAACCTGTTTTTGACTTACAGAGTATCCTAATAAACAGACAATAAGCTAAGGCATGTGGAACTGAGTTCTACAGAACTTATCTTCAGAATAAAATACAGCCCATGCTTCGAAAAAGGGCATCCTTTCTCATAGAAACAATAGTCCTAATAATGATTTCCAGACCAGCCCATTTCACCAGCATATGTAGTGTAATGTAAATCAGAGAGCAGAAATATACCTTCATACCCCATAATTGGGCTGGTGGTGATCGGGATGCTCAAGTGACTTGTCTTTATGTGCATTATCGCCTATGAATGAATTTTCCAGTTATAAAGTTTCTTGAGTTTGATCATTTCTGAAATTGAGACAGAGTTTCGCTCTTGTTGGCCAGGTTGGAGTGCAGTGGTGCGATCTCGGCTCACCACAACCTCCACCTCCTGGGTTCAAGCGATTCTCCTACCTCAGCCTCCTGAGTAGCTGGATTACAGGCATGCGTCACCACACCCAGCTAATTTTGTATTTTTTCAGTTGAGGCAGGGTTTCTCCATGTTGGTCAGGCCGGTCTCTAACTCCTGACCTCAGGTGATCTGCCCGCCTGGGCCTCCCAAAGTGTTGGGATTACAGGTGTGAGCCACCGTGCCTGGCCTGAAATTGTTTTATTATTAAAACAGTATGTTCTTATAAAAAATTAGAGCAACACAGAAATGTTTGAAAAAGTTCTTTATTGTGGTGTATTAATATATGATATTATAGTATTACTCATCACATGTACGCTTTACATCTGAAGTGGTTCATGCTTGCTGGAAGTTTGAGTACTTAGCCTTTCCTACTATTAGGTAAAAGCCCTCCTGTGGTCATTCTGAGCAGGACACTGAGCCTACTGCAGATCCCAGGCTGGACAGTAGAGGGTGCACATCCTCACTGAATGGAGCTTAGGCAAGAATTAGGATTCTGCACACATTTATTTCAGACTCAGGTCCCACTGTTGGTTTTCATATTGATATCCTTTAAAAATCTTTTTGGAGTACAATTTATTTGCTCTTGAAGTATGGGTGGGGTGTTAAGCTAAATTTAAATTGTTCTGTGAGGCACAGGCATTATACTTCAGCATGCACCTAGTGAAGCCCTAAACATACCAATAGGTAGTAATCCAGTTAAGCTCTTTATAAGGCCATATGCCTAGGCTAAAAGGGAATTTTACTTTTTTACTGGGGAGACAGTTCATTGCTGCATTTATTGGACTTTGTTAGATTGTACCAAGCACAATAGATTTGTAATGAACATTTTTATTTTTTTCCTCCTGAAAAGCTTTACTATACAAACAGCTCTGATTTCTGTTTTCCCCGAGATGGCCTTTAGGGTCGATGAACCTCAGGATAAGCCCAGAGCATTTCTCTAAGGCTGCCAGGGCTTGAGGAATTCTGTACTTACTCCAACTGTCATCCTGTTCTTCATCCCCTAGCTCAGGTAAGGGGAAAGCAGGGAAGGTCAAAGAGTGCTAGCTGTAGAAGCACTGACTTAGGGTATCCTCAGCCCTCTATTCCCAACTGCAAGCCAGTAGTTCACTAAGTATAAATGGCACAGCCTCAAAAGCACAAACATTCTGAGTGTCATTTTTATATGCTCTCCAGTGATGAGATGGCAAATAGTAGCAAAGTGTCAGCTGTGTGAGAAGATGGTGATTGGTTGGTTTGGGGAAGTTGTAATGTTGATAAAAATTGTTTATACATTTCTAAGAAGTACAAACCGGAAGAATTGAGTTCTTGTTCTGGCTTCTTCATAGGTAGTTGTGTGATGCTGAAGTTAGACAGATTGCTGATGTAGAACCCGACTTTCCTTTTTGTCTGATGTGTGTGTATAATTTGCTTCACTGGGATGCTAGCTTTAGATGCTAATTTTTATTCATACGTTCCTGTGAATAGTCTGGTGGCCCGAGAGTCTTTCCTGGGAATCTTAGGGGGCCTCTTGTAGAGGCATTTGTCTCCGTTAGCAGATATCACTTAGAAGCGAGTGACTTTGAGATCTCTGTGACCACCACCCTCCTACTTATGTAGGATGAAGCTGTATTTCTGTCCCCTGAGTTGGATTAGACTATTACATGCTGGTGAAGTGGGCGGGCCTGGAAATTATCTACCATTAGGAATGTTGTTTCTGTGAGAAATGGTGCTCTTTTTCCAAAAAGAATATAGCCATGTTTGGACACTTCCTGCAGTGACTCCTGCCCTACCTGCCTCACGGCATTGGTGTGAAACCTAAATTAGTCAATTTTCCTGAAAATGCTTTTGAAACTATAAAACTGAAGGTCCCTCCCCAAACCCCTCAGCCTGAGGAAAGTCTGAATGTAATTTAGTTTGAGGTTGGCACATACTTTTATAGGACTGTGAAGCAAATGAAGAAAACCCCTAGATAACATTAAGCCCTTTCATTCTCAGAATCGATGATGCCATCAGCTTGGTTCGGCTGTATCACATACTCCATCCAGACGGCCAGTCGGCTCAAGAGGCCAAGGATCAGGCTGCTGAGGGAATAAATTTAATTAAGGTAAAGTTTTTTTCTTTCCACATTGGTTTTGTGGTAGTAACTGAGTTGAGAAAAATTCAGAATTGGGTCATAATTGATGGTAACTAAACAGATTTGTGAATATGGGACATCTGTAGTCTTGAAAACATCAGTTTGGTTTGTTCCTGTATTTCTTCAGCCTGGGCAATAGAAACAGGAGGGGGGTAGATACAGTAAAGTAGGTTGAGTGATGGGCATCCTAGCAGCTGGAGTCCAGGGAAGTTTGGACAATGGGGGCAGCAACCCCCTTGTTCTTTGGAGCACCAGAAGGGCTGAGCTGCATCTGAGGTGATCAAGTCACCAACAGGACAGGGTAGAGGAGAAGGTAGCACGTGTCTTCCAGAGCAGCTTCCTGTTGTAGTGTGGTCACATCACATTGGGGGAAATGGGCACGTGTCAAGAAATGGAGAATGTGGTGCTTGTGTTTCACCAAGCTTTAGTTGTATTGTCATTTTGGAGCTGCCCACCTCTCAAAACCATGGGCTTATATATATCTATCTGTAAATGCTGAGATGATTTTTTCAGGAAGGAAAGAAGAGGAGATGATTGTATAATTTCGTCTCTTCTAATGCTCAGAATATACATGGTTTTGTGGAAAATATACTGGCTTCTATCCTAGTAATACTGTTTAAATCTTACTAAGGGGACAGTGGCCTGTGATGACATCCTAGGAAGAGTAGAGAGAAACTACAGTATTGATTTTCTCTGATGAACCAGATAAAACAAAATGCATTTGGAGAAAATATTCTTTGAAGTGAAAAATTAGCCTCCAGGTTTCTCTCTAACCTAATGGTTTTGTTTTGCTCTAGCAGGAAGTATTAATATTAGTACAATGTCAGGGTCTTAATGGGATACTTCTGCTGTTTAGAATTAGTATTGCTTGAAATGTGCTGGGTACTGTTTTTCTGTCCATGGGTATTTATGATCAGGAAAAATTGTGAAATTTGAAAGACCTTTTTAAGTAGGACTCTTTGCTACTACAGAAATGCTAATGATATCTTAAAACTGAAAAATTTATAAATATCATATGTCCAATTGGTTTAAATTTTTTTTTAATTTAAACAGGTCTTTGCAAAAACAGAAGCACAGAAGGGAGCATATATAGAACTAACACTGCAAACTTATCATCAAGAAACACTCAGCCATTCTGCAGCTTCCTGAAAATATTTTTAAAATACATTTATTTTACTAAATACTGACTACACTTGTCTGTTAATATTGAGCTAAATATTAAAAACGGTGAGATTAAAAGGTACCAATTTTGCTTACCAAAGGTAAACAAAAATTGTTACCCTACTCACTTTCCTAGGCTACAAGGATATTTGAGTGCCTGGTTATGAATTTCTTGAATCATGTTAGATGAGTGTACAGTTAAAAGATACTTTTCGCGTGTGTGTGTGTGTTACCAAATAGGGCAAATAGTAATTTAGACAGATCTCAGCTTAATAAGTTCAGAGGAACAGAGGTTTCACATCTGAATCCGGAAATGGGTAGCTGCTAGACAAAATCAGGGCAAGACCTGTGGAATGACGCAATGAGGTCAATAAAAAGGGTTTAGAGAATTGCAGCATGGATATTCAGCTCTAAGAAAAATGTGATTGACAACACTTGAAAATGCAGATTTAGTCATGCAAAGAAAAAGTGGGGCTGATTCCTAGACAAGGTATAGTTTCGGCTCAGCCTTCTAAAACTAGAGGCCTATTTTCCTTACTGAGAAAGGAAACACAAGTATCTTCATTAATTCAAAAGGTTTTATGAGATATGGTCTAATAGTATGAAAAAAATCAAAGCCCATGTCTGTTTTAGTTAACAAGGAAAACAGTGATTTAAATGCTGCACATAAACTCTTAAGATGATGTGGGCATTGTGCTCCCAGTGATCCACAGCATTTACATATAAAAATTGAAGTTTCTCATAGTCCAAAGCACTGTGGTCAGGGTAACAATCAATACCTATATATAATAATGATCTGTTTAGTCAGGTAAATGGAAAACATTACAATCAGTCATCCAAAATATCTTCATCCAGATTGATATCTGTTGTGTCAATATCTTCTAATTCCAAATTATCCAAATCTACTTCTAGTTCGAGTAAAGTCTGCAAACAAAAGCAAGAGAGAATTAAGTTTTACAGTACTGTTAAAGGAAAGTTATCTGTGGGTATAAGATCCAAATGAGAATTAAAATTTTCTTAACAGTCAAAAACAGCATCTTCTCATTTCAAAGCCCCTGCTCTGAAACTGATAATATCACTTAAACCACAGAGGCCTATATATCCTCCAGATATTGATGGGGAGGAGGATAGGACAGAGGAATGTTTGACTATGATGTCTGAACTACCTTTTCTTCCTTGTTGGCTGTGTGGGAGGCCACAATAACTGGAGTAGGAGAAGCAGGTTTCCCGTCAAGTTCCTGAAAGCCCAAATGAAGACAAGGGAATTTACTCAGGAATTTAGTTTTCCCCCAAGAGAAGGATGATCGGAATTGGGAAGTGGGAGATAATGTTTAGAAGTCAACCATCTCAGCCAAATTTCTCACGTGAAGTACTCTAACTGACCTGGTGAGCTGTAGATCTTGAGGGCTGAAAGCCTTTTGCTTCTTCCATAACATTTCTCTCTTCATTTGGCTATCAGAGAATAAAGCAATAATGAAATGAGATATTTTGAAATCATAATTTACCTATGAACTTGGCCTAAACCCCAGATTATCAGCTTTTAATTTTAAAAAACGTATTTACTGCAGTTCAAAATCTGAAGTCATGAATACATTTCCATCCTGTAGTTACAATAAATGAAGCCGGACGTCCTGGCCACTCACCGTGACAAGTGGGTATTGTTTGGCTGGCCACAGATCGGCATGTGTTTCCTTCACCCATTCTTCAACAACAAAGGCTTCTTTTAATCCAGGGAACAGGTTTTCATACTCTGTTGGGTCAGCAAGGGATTCTGCTGCTTTCTGATTGACTTTTGAGAGATTCTCTCTCCAGAGTTTCACTACCCTACATCAGGGAACCAAAAAGAGACTAAGTAAGTGTGCTGTTTTTATTGGAATCATTTCTTCCTAAAATTAAAATTCTGTACCTTGAAACCTGACTGGGTAGGTAAGTTCGGGCCAGGAAGGCAGCTTCTGGCAGCCGTCCAGTTCTAATCAAGAGCTCTAGGCAGGCATCAACCCTAAACATAAAGGAGAGGTACTGTTACCAAGAATACTAACACTATAATAATAGTACTTAACACAGAGAAAAGTAAATTTAGTGTTGCAAAGCCAAAAATCTCCCCAATCTTAACACACATCTCATTTCTGTCACTTGTCTTTTAATGGTTGTTACATAATCAACACACTCCAAGGATACGAGGGATATGACAGCTTTCCTGACCACTTTGAATCTACTTAATTTTAATAATTCCTAAGAACCTAAAGGGGCTTTTCAAGAGGAGTTAAGGCAAATTAGATTAACAAATTTTAAAGGCATCAGGACATATGCCAATAGAAATTCAGTTCCACAAGACAAATACCTAGGGCAGTGTCTCCAACATGGGAAGGGCCAGACAAGCCAGTGGTGCCCAGCACAATATCAAAATGTCATTTTTTCTCTGTGTAAGTTTTATGAAGTGGACAATGTGTTTTTAGAATTCAGAAATTTTTGGATTTTCAAAAAGTGATAGAGTATGTATACTATGGATTACCTAACATCCTCAGCAAGAAATAAAAGCCACAAACAATACTGCAATAACTTACGGAGGAATGTTAAATGCAATAAAAGTACACCAAATTGGTATAAAAGCAACTAAAATAGTACAACAGAGTTCAGTTCAGGTTTGCCATCAAAACAGTTATCAAAAACCATTTTCAGAATATTTTAGGATTTTTGAATTACAAATAAGGAATAGTGGGTCTATTTTTATAGGTATATAAATTCATAAATACATTCACATACATAAGATGGGTGCACATTAAAAGTTTTATGATGAAGTATGGAATTGTAAAAAAATTAAATCAGTATGTAGGGCAAGGTTAAATAATACTTTCAGGTCAGGCGTGGGGGCTCATGCCTGTAATCCCAGCACTCTGGGAGGACGAGGCAGGTGGATCATTTGAGGTCAGGAGTTTGAGACCAGCCTAGCTAACATAAGGAGACCTTGTCTCTACTAAGAATACAAAAATTAAGCCAGGTGTGGTGGTGCACACCTGTAATCCCAGCTACTTGGGAGGCCGAGGCAGGAGAATGGCTTGAATCCAGGAGATGGAGGCTGCAATTAGCTGAAATTGCACCACTGCACTCTAGCCTGGGCAACAGAGTGAGACTCCCTTTTTTTTTTTTTTAAAATACTTTTGTGTTTTATTTCATAATACCGCCTACTAATGTCCATATGATTTGGTTTATGGTGTTAGACTTATTATGTGACATCTTTATGCTTTATAGTAGGCCCAAATCTAAAAGTAACTGGCATACTTCTCCCCTTTTGTTCTTGCCATAAATAGATCCAAATTATCCAATTTGGGTAAAATCACCTTTCAGGTACCCACTAGAGCAGCTCAATAGCCTCCTGCAATCATAAAGTAAAATGCCTCTGCCATTAACTGGCAGGGCTGTTGAGAGAAATGTTTAACATTTCTCCCACTTGAGCCTCCCTGAGTTCAGCTCATTTCGTTCAAACATTTAGACTGTATGCTAGGAGCATCCCTTGCTGAAGGTGAGTGCCACCAAGGCTGCTGCACTGACAGGCGGTCAGCACTGTCCTCTGCCTGCCTGCTCTATTCAACACCATTTGGCCATCCATCAGGTCTCTCCAGGGTTCATTCTTTGCATCCCTCTCCAAAAACCATCCTTAGTGTAGAATTAATTAATCTTTTAAATTAATACTCACTTGCCCTGTAAAAAGTAGCTCATGAATGCCACATTATTTTTGCCATCTCTCTCTGCACCTTCTGCTAGCTTGTTCACCATACTAGCATTTCCAGAGGCAGTGGCCAAAAGCAGCAGACCCCCATAATCCTGTGCATGGTGCAGGCACTCCTGGGCTAAGCCAAACTGACATTTACTAATGGCAAGTTCAGCAAGTTGTTTCCACTTCTGTTCCGACTGTAAGAAAAGTTACCAAGTCAAAATATATTTGGAAATAAGCATTTACACTTCCAACATTATTCTGTTAACTGTGCTGACAATAGAAGATATTTATATATACAGAGAGCTGTGCTCGTTGGAAATTATTCATGTATACAAAATGAATTTAAACACAAATCAATATTAATGATGTGTGAATAATTATCATCAACCCATTATAGTTTTATCTTGTAACTACACTGGGAAAGTAAAACCATGTCACTGGCATTTTAAGGTAATTAGATTCCAATTATTTTAACAAGTGATTTAATACTACTTTTTAAAAATGTACCAAACTGTTTATGTCCTTAGGTATTTCACAGTAATATGTTTCACTTGTAGCTTTTCAAAACTCAAAATGCTGCATGTTGAGATGATCTTAACATAGCTAAAATTTATTTTGCACATCTAAAATTAATTTACCAGTAAATGCTACTCTTAAACCACAATTGGGAGCAAAGATCTGTAAAAATATCATTACAAAACTGGTATTAACATTTCTCCCATTTGAGCCTCCCTGAACAGCCCATTTAGACCAGATGTGCTAAGGGCATCCCTTGCAAAAGGTGAGTGCCACCAAAGCAGCACTATCCTTCTCTGACTGCCTGCTCTACTCAACACCAAAAGACAAAAGGGTTGGGTTGTCTTTCAAAACCCCTTTTTAAAACCAGTATCTATCTTTCTAGCTAGTTTGAGACACTGGCAAATTACTGCTAGGTCTGTACTCTTTAGACTTTCCAGACTAGTCTACATACTGTTTTACATCTTTCCTTATACTGCAAAATAGATCTCACATAAGATATGAAAACAATTTTTCTTAGAGTGCTAAGAATATCTCCAATGTAATCAATTTAACTTATGCAAAGTTTAACATATCTTTTGAAAAGTTCAAAGAGAGACAATGACTTCACAAAAATGAGCCACTTATTTGCATTTGGGAAAACTTTAATAACAAAACATTACACCAAACACATACAAGTACCTACTGACTTTTCCATCAGTTATGAAAAATCATGAATTAGTACATACCTCTGCTTCCACTGCTAACTGGTATGCAATTTTTAACTCTCCAAGCTGAAGAGCAAGCTCGAAACGATGCTCAGGATCTGTGGATACTGTAAGAGCTTGCTGCTTGAAGCCCTAAACAGATTT